TCCTTATCTTAATACTCTACCTAAGTAGGTGATTTTGAGGGTGGCTGCAGAAAATACATGGTTGCCTGTCACAGAGTTTAGCGGGGCAACTAGGCCAGAGCAGGGGTGGAAATTACAGAGCACTTCACCCCAACTAGATACATCCTAATCAGGCATTTGGGAGATACACCAAAACTTCCATTTCTCTTGAAAGATAAATGGCTGTCTGTGGTTTCTGTGTTGATGAGAAGGAAGTGAAAGTGTGACAAGCCAGGGCTGAGGCGCTGACAATGGGTTAGAAGAACACACAGAACTGCGAGATTACCAGGAATGCAGGAAAATCCTCGAGCGGGCACTGACCCAAGAGGAATGTCTGTGCATGTCTACCAGGCCTAGTGTCAATCATCTACCTGAGAGCTGGCCTACATCAACAACTCTGGAGCCCCTGTCGTTAATGAGGAAGTACAGAAAGATTTTGTAAAGGGCAAACAGGATCAGAAAGAGCACTAAGCCAGTCACACAAAGCATATAATGCTTGCTAACAAAAACTGACCAGACTAGTTTTTGCCGTCAGAACAACTGGAAAGAAAGTCTTTGTCCCCATTTTTCAAAAATATTTATTCTCAACATTTAATTCTACTGCTCAATAGTACCTGCAGACCAAACTGGAGTAACATAAAGTCTAATTTAGTTTTCTTCATATTCTGGAAATAATCTTCCACAAGGAGGCAAAAGTTACCAATTTTCCAAACAATTCTCTCAACCACAAACCATATTATCACCCAAGCAAGCAGTTTAAGGAAACAATATTCCATCTATTCCAAGAAATACGTGTTTACTAAGAAGTAGGGCTGATGGTAGTGGGGCAGCAGTATGAACTGATACAGACAGAATCCGTGCTAGTTCACCGTCCTGCATTTACACGAGGTGGCCCTCATTGGTGGCACCGTCTTTACTGGTTTTTCTTCCCTCCAGTGTCACAGCACTCTCAACATTAAAGATGGGACAGAGTGGGTGCCCACAGCATTAGTTTGCTCAACGTTCACCTCTGCAGGCCCCTCACTGTTTCATTTCCAGGAGGAAGAAAGAAGAGTGCCAACAGACCTAGAGGTTTTCAAACTGTGTTTTCAGGAAGCTAGGGTTCCTTGGGAGTGTGAAGAGGTTTTTCATGGGAAAGGCTGATAAGGGCAGACAAACTTCTCGGAAAGAATTTGCCTGCCGCTAAAGACGCAGGGGAGTGTTAGGCACGCAGCTAGACACGCCTGGTGATGGTGGTGTTCCTTGTGCCACGAAAGGCACCCAAGGATTCTCTGCAATGCACTGAGATTGCATGGTAGGCTCACAGAGGTTCATCAGTGGACAATTAATAGAGGAAGGCAGAAAATCTCTGATGTAGCTAAATGTATCTCTTTCACCCTGTATGTATCTCCCTGTACTTGTTCTTTTGAAACAAATACTGTGACCTTTCTTCAGAGAAGAGCTACTCAAGCCCCTTGATCATTTTTGCTGTGCCTGGACAATTCTATACATGTTTTCTCAGAAATATATTCCACTGTGTCCCATTCAGCACACTCCCAAGCTAATGGTTCTAGGATTGCTATCTTGTCAAAGCAAGATTTGGTCATCACTGGCCAGACTAGCAGTTTATTTTCATCTGATGAAAATAGTCCACTACCAAATAAGCACAGGACGACGACGACGACAACACCCAAGCCATGTCCTTGTGCATATGTGTTTGGTCAGAAAAAAGACACGGAAAGCGCCAAACTTCAAGTTCTAACCTTATAGTTAGGCTACTCCACTGTTTTCATGTTATGAAAAACTCATGGAATGTCTGTGTTTGACTCATAGACGATTCAAGATGTGGAACTGCTTTAACAGAAAATATGCAAGGATCATTTTATTTGCTCAACTACTTCAGAAGGACAAGAGGAACACGCTATTGGTAGATGAAAGATAGTAGTAACAGCTTCCAGTAAGTATAATAGGCTGTTTCCAGCGCTCTTGTGCTAAGCCTACTTCATACTTTCCTGCTACTCACCCATCCCTACTCTAACTCTGAAAGGCTACAGGAGGTAGAAGGCTGTAGGTAGAAAATTACTATATGCAAATTCAACCCTGTTAATTCAGTTTATATATTCAATAATGTATGAATCTTTCTTCTGCAGCAACTTCACTGGTGAGCATCCAGTTTGGGGAATGGGCTAGTTCTTAAGTTACTAAAGGATTAAATGCCTATGTAATCTATTTTTTTTCCCTCTTTGCCGATAGCATTTGATGTCCAATGGGTTACGATCAGTGCCAAAAACTGTAACCTGTCTAGCTAGCATCCAGTTCCAGATTCAATTTTTATTGCTCCTTCTATGCTAAGCCAAAGAAAACATTACAGTCCCTTTCAGTGGTTGTCTTAAAGTCATCAATATCCTTCCTGAACAGTATTTATCCAACCATATATCATACAGCTACCAGTGTAATTTCTAGGTTAGATAAATGCCTTTGTAAGAATTGCCGTTAAGTCTGCCTGAGCAATTAATATAATTTTCACAAAATGCCAAGACCTTTAAATCATTTAGAAAGCAAACTGAAGTATATAGTTTAAGCATTCAATAACAGCTTCATACATTTCTGTAATATGTATTTCAGACCACAGAATATACCCTCTTGCAAGATAAAAGTTGCTGTTTCAGAGTGCATTGAGGGCAGGTATAGTTTGTACTCAGGAATGGGCTGAGATCCAGAGAACTACATTGTGTACAGCCAAGGACTTGTATATATGTAATGGGAAGTTTTGCACTTTTCTCTCTGAAGAGTGACAGCCGTGCCAAGTAATAAGCTACTCTGAAAGGCCCCTCAATTTCAAAAGTAGTTTGCCATGTAGCCAAGGATGATGGGGTGCCTTTGTTTGAGAGATTCAACTCCCAAGCATCCTAAGGTGCAAGAAAACAGCTGTAGCCTCTTTAGCTCCCATCTATGGATGAACTGGTAATTCTTCCCAATAAATCCATCAATAAACCCTCTAAAAATAGTTTGCTCAGCTACTTAGGCTCTAAAATGCATTTTTATTTCTCAGTGTAGTCTTAAAACCCCAAATCCAAATTTAAATGGGTGTTTGGATATTGTAACATTATACATTAACTTACTAAGTTAATATTATCCATAGTAGGTGGAACTTCCAATAGGAAGGGGTTAGGATTTAATTATTCTTGAGGTAATACGTTAATTTACTAAGTACTCAACAGTAAGATCACCTCTTCTTGCTTCCAAGAAGTGTGTGTATGTGAGAGAAAAAGAAACACAGAGAGAGCAAGAACCTGCAGGGAGATATTTCAGAGTAGCCTATTATCATTTTTGCAATCTTTCACTTGAAGATTACATCTACTTGTGTCACTTCTTCATTGCACTTCAAGAAATGTTTATTTTTAGTTTCCTGTATGATTCTTCCAGCTTTATCTCAGTTGAAGCTATCTCAGTGCATCAAACCTCTATTTAATGACGTTCAGATTTGCATAACATGCAATTCTCCAAACCCAGGGTTCATCAGTAACCTATTTAAGAAGAAAAATCTTTTTAGCATGGCTAAGCACAACAGAAAGCACTAGTTCCAATGCCACTACCATGTCCCAAGTTTAAAGCCTTTTTCTCAAATAAGTTGCTCTGTAAAATAAGGAGTGTTGTGGTCACAGACTAACTCAGCTAAAGAAGTAGGCATAATGTATACAACAGGAACAAATTTTAGGAAACAGTTAAGTGTATAGGAAAGAAAATGAAAGCAGGCTGCTAAATACTACATTAAGTCCCATAGCACATTGGCCTGAGATTAAGCTTCGGCAGAAAACCAATCTAAAGTTGCTTCTCATTCAAGTTAACTTGCTTGGTGTATTATGTTCTGAATGTCCTAATACCTTTGCTACAGCAATCTTCCGTACCAGCTTTGGTTCCTCCAAGAACTGTGGTCTCGCCAAAAAAAAAAAAAAAAGCAACTATATTTCTACTGTATCATTTTCCATAAAGATTTAGATGATAGATTATCATCTAAATGATGATGCCTCTCACTCTACTACCCTGAGCTACCAAAATGCTCATCTCTCACACTTATTTTTTCCTTGCTACCTCTTATTGCTGCAACTCCCCAGAGTACTACTGTCAAGTTGCCTTTTTTATGCTCAGCTCTCAAACTCCAATTCATACCCATTTCATGATGGAAAACCCTAAATACAACTTATTCTGATTGCACTCATCCTTATTTAGTTGCTTCTCCCTCTTTTATGTGGCTTCTACCCACACTGTCGAAACTTGCCAAGTGCTATACATACTAATGGCACCATATAATAGTATCCTGTATCACATTTCATGTGTTGATTTAACTGCATTTGTAATATCACACCCCTCTAAAAAAGCACACGAGAGAACATTACACATTTTAGATTAGGAGCAAAGGAAACTGCCTTATATCACAGTCTGATTTGTCCTTCTGACTCAGTGTTGTCTACTCTGATTGGCTGCAGTTGTCCAGCATCTCAAGCAGAGCTCCTCCACACCACCTGCTTCCTGAGCTTTTTAAACTAGAGATGCCAGAAGGATGAACTTGGGACTTTCTGAGCTGGGGTCCCTGCCCAAAGGGAAGACTCATGTATAAAGGTTTCAAAAGGGGACAGAAGATGGCAAGCATCTTCCCCTCTGTTTTATCCTTCAGTAGCCAAATATTTAGCTTACTGCAGTGCTTAAAATTCACCAAAGAGGGCATAAACCAAAATCCTGCACAGATGTCAATGCAATAGCCCTAGCATATTATATGGTTGACCTACATCTATACTGAAAATTATGACTATGAGGTCAAACTCCCCAAACTGACAAGCCAGCCAGAAAAGCTTCAAGCAACATTCAAGTTCTGCTCCACTGCATTTAAACTAGAACTTAGCAAGGTTTACAAACAAACACAATCTCACTTTGAGTTTATCATAAATTCACAGCTCAATTATATGCATGTGTCACACCCACTGGATTCAATGGGCCCTACTCACAGGTAAAGATGTATAGCATTTCAGCCCAATGGAAACAAAGGCAGGAGATACTTCCATGTGTGTCTGTGCCAGAGAAAGAAAGAGAAAGAGAGAGAGTGCATACAGGTAAGAGCGGCAGAAACTGCCTTGGCAATTTTTCTGTTTCAGTACAGGAAAAAAAATTCTACATCCTAATTTCTCTCAATTGCTAGTAGAAGAATTATTCTTGTCCCACCCTGGAAAGAAATCTGCAAAGATAATTTGTCTTTTTGCAACACACAGTTCACATTAGCAAGTATCCTCAACTCCAACAGCTAGACTTTGCTTCACAGAAGAAAACAGCAGACTTTCCTTGATCATAAAATAAAACCCTAAAATATGGTTATGGTCCAGTTAGCTGTACATTAGACATTTCTATCCAGTAACATGTGGCACTTTCCCAAACAAGTATCTTTCCAGTATAATAGTATTAGGTAGCAAAAGAACTACATTAGAAACCTTAATTGAACTCAGACCTATAAACCAATCTTCTCCTGAGGTTCTTTCAGTGTGTTACTGAGAGGGGAAAGGCAAGTCCCTACTGAATCTCTATCTCACATGCAGCTGAAGACATCTTTGTTAATTATTCACTTTCTAGATTGCCTGGAAGCAACCCTTTTGTTACTCGATACACTATCTCAGTCTGAGGAAAGAACATTTTAAAAATAATGATAAAAATCAGGCAGCATTAAATGCTGTCTGCTTGCATTTTTAAAAAATTCCATGTATAAGAATCATGTTCTTCCTCCCACCAGTACACATAACTCAGATTCCAAGCTGAATTTCACCTGCCAAAAATATTTTACATGTTTAACACTCGCAGTTCACTGAAAGCTGTAATTTGGTACAGTGCTTTACAAGCATCCATAGGAACCAGGATAGGACATGCACTGCTCGAGGTCACAGATAAAATCTGGGTTGGAGCTGAAATCCGATTGCTTTCCAAGTCTTAATTCTATATTATGAGCACATCAGTAACGTTGGTCAGTGTTTTAGAACGGAGACCACTATTTTTACTAACAATTAGTAAAAACACTTCATTTTGTACTAGCTGAATAGAACTGAAGTGACAGAGCATTCCAAGATGTTAAATGTAAATATGGATTAAGTCAGCTACAAGCAATTCTGTCAATTTTCCACTTTTTCTGGGTAGGCTACAATTTCAAATACACCTGATACAAAATTCCACAAAGAGCAACCATTCTGTTTTTCATCCAGAGTATGGGCCTACTCCCGTGTTTGAGGCTCACTGAGATCAACAAGAACAGTGTTCTGTTGATCAGGTTATGCATTTCAGACACTTCGGGCACTACTGGCCAGCCTGGTGCCCTCCAGCTGTATTTGAACGTGCCCGTCATTCCCAGCCAGCCTCACTGTCAACAGTGAAGATTTGAAAAAAAAAAAAATAAAAATACAACAACCTGCTTGTAAAAAGGTCATGTGGCTGTAATTCCTGGAAGAGGGGTCCCGTGTGCAATATAAAGGGCAGCTGGTTATCTTCACGTGCTCTCTATATCAAATTCAGATAAGAATTTCTCTTCCACACTGTCAAGTTCAGTGTGTACATACTACGCACTGAAGAATCATGCACACACTACTTCACACACATACTACTTCAGTGCATATACTAGAAGAACACACTATAGCATCTAACTGTATCTCTCCTGGTTCCAAGATATTCCTTTCGTGCAGGCTCGAACTACTGCTGAACATGAGAAACGGAACTGAAGAGCCAGGTATTCAGACTTGGTAGGTCCTGTGACCTGCCATGATTACTCCTGCTAACGATCAGGCTGAGACGCTCTTGTCTCCAGGGTTTGCAGCCCTAGTAATACTTTTGGCTTGGGCACATTATTGTGCCTAGAAATGTTATGATTTGACACTGGCAAGGAATACTTTGCTCCAGAATTACAGCATTTCCCCCCGACAAGTGCCACTGCTAACATAATACTGCCAACGCTGTAACTATGATTAAGTGATTAGACTAGGCAGTGGAACTGCTGTTCCCTTTCCACCAGCTTCTTTTGCAGTCTTTATGTTTTAAGAGCCAGGACAACATTGTTCTTGGCTGTGACAGCACCACTGTGGTGTTGTGGTCACCCACAAGTTGCCTGCCAACCTCCCAAAACAACAACAACAACAAACAAAACAAAACACTAAACCCCCTGATACTTATCCAGATGAGTAGGAAATTGTAAGACCTCTTTCCTAAGACATCACCTGGTAAAAAGACTGTACTTTTCACATTTGAGCATATTAACCATTATTCCAGCATTTACAAACTCTGTAAATGAGATTTTAAACTCTGTAAAAGAGATTTTAAATGCTGTCTAGGGATTGCAGAAGGTACTGAATATGGGACTACTTCCTATGAGAAGCTGGAAATACAGACTTAAGTCTGCACCAATTTCAAACAGACCTGAGTATAATTAAAGGTACTAAATCAGATCTATAAAATGACACACTGTGATGGTGCATAAGCAGGCTCAGAACCCTTGGCAACACCATCTACAACTGAAAGAGATCAGGGGAAAGCGTACTTGGGGTCTGCGCTGCATCTCTGTGGTTCTCTTTCCATAGAGAAACAGTGCAGAATCGAGTGTGTGGATTAATTACCATTTAGTGACTATGGATGAAGCCACAAGGGAAGAGTTCTGATTATCTTCTCATAAGACATGGAGGCCTTACTGAGATGATGCAGGAAAAATTGTGTGTGTTGGTTATGAAAATAATATTTAGAATTCTTCTATTCTTCCTAAAGTCAAACAACAGACCAGAATCAGGTAAACTAGTAAAAAGTTCCAAGCAAGTTTTAAATGCTAGCAAAGAGTATTTTTCAAAAGAAAACTCTATATTGCACAACATTCAAGTCCAACGATACTGTGAACATTTTGAAGGAGCATTTTCTGGGAGGCCAGATTATTTGTTTAAGGAGGAAACAACTAGGCAGAGATCAATACACAAAGCAGAGATCGATGCACAATTTGTTTGGTTAGTCTGCAAAATCATATGACTATTAAAATGAAAATGTTCTGCCTTTCTGTATCACATAGGGAAACTGGAAGCTTAGAAATAGATGTTCTGTGTTTGTGTAAGAGAGATACCATTCCATTATTCTTGCAAATGGCAGTATCAAATTATTATAGACTAAATTCTTAGATTAAACTGTCCTCAACTGTTGTGCTTGGATGCAATGCAACTGGTCTGTCATGATTTTTTTTCAGCTAGAGTGCAAGGGGAATCCAAAATGTGTGCATGAAGAAAGTTGGAGAATGATTGCCAAGCATTTCAAATACTAGGAAGACCAGTGGTCCTATTAATCCTTCACTGACTTATCAGTAAAACCTGCGAAAATGGGGGTAGTCTGATAGTTCATGAAGTACTCCAGTAAATGCTAGAACTAAATTTGTCATCTTAAAAAATCCTACTTTACCAAGTCCGTATTTTATGCATATTATAACTTTATACCTAAAATAAGGAAAGAATATTTCTAAAAGAAAATTCTGAATCTTAAACAAAGCCAACTGCACAGAATACAAGGTAGCCACGTTATCAGTACATGCCATCATGAAAGAGGGCTTTTATTCTAATTGAAGCTGTATCAGCCTATGTGATGCACTTTTGTTCCACAAATATGACAGCATTATTTCAACAGCCAAGTTAACGACTTCAAATTTGAATTAATAATCTGTTTACACAGACCTACAGTGAGAGCTGTGCTAACTAAACAAACTTCAACATTAAAAAACCCATATAAGCTATTTTAGAAGATCTCAGAATAGTCAGGAAAAAACCTGCGTTCAGAATATCCAGTATGGCAAAGGTCGCCCCCCCCCCCCCCGATTACTACATTTAGGGCACACTTCTACAGCCTCCTGCTGTTGTGGGGGGTGGGGACATTTGGAACACCAGCCCTAAAGTTCTGCAACCTTGAAGCTGAAGCTCTGAATGCTAATCCTCTACCCTGCTCCCTCACAGCTGGTCAAGAAAAAAATGCATGAGCTACATCTCCAAGGATGGCACTGGGCCTCAAAGGGACAGAGAACAGACGTGCTAGGGGACAGGAAGAGGCAAGTGGGCCCAGTGCTTACACTGATACCTATCAGTGCACCAGACTTCTTCCCACCCTTGGCATTTCATGTAAATGGCCATAAATATCCACGGTCTAAGGCAGAGATCACGACTACTATGCCTCGCTCCATGCACTGGATGCCGCTGAATTGTAGGGCACTGGACTGCACCCTTAATAATCCACCAGGCAAGTACTAGCATTCAGTTAACTGGTTTGACTGGTATTTCCCACACAACATTTCTACCTGTCGCCCTTGCTCACAAGAATTTTTCGGGCTGGACTAAAGCAGACTGAAACACATCCAAGTGTTATCTTATATCACTCCAAAATGTTAAAATATTTAATGCTTGCTCTTGGCTCATACTGTATGAGAGGCAATTCCCTAGGTTTGGAATGCAAGCATAAGCTGCAAGTTGTCATTCCACTCACTGAAAAGACTATAAGAGGCCATTTAGGGTTATTAGGCTTCATTGCAGAATGAAACTTGGAAAAGCTAAAAAGAATCCTCTGTGCAGGAGACAGCACAGTACCGTCTGAATTCTGTTAACAAATGTTATAAATCTTGCATTTAGCTATAAATTTTACAAAGAAGACAGGCATAGTCAAACTCTATTTCAAGTTTTGTTACAGTTTAACTTAGGAAGTGTAGCCTTCTTTCACATTTTTAATGGACTCTGGTTTAGTTGGAAATACCTCCCCTGTACCTTGAAGGGCTTGTGACACTTTTGCCTGCTGGAATAAAAACAATAATTAAAATATGTTAGCACACTGATGTAAACTTTTTCATACAGCACAATGTTTAAAATACTTAAACATTTATGACAGAGAAAGAGCTTGTAATTTCTATCAGCATTCTTATAGAGCCAATGCATCATAATTTGACACTTACGAAGTGTCTCAAGTTTTCAATGCACCATACAGATACCAAAACAGTATTTGCCTGTGGTCTTATAATGCAATAGACAATCCCAAA